TTTCCATGCTGGTTTCAGTGTTTTCACCCATCAGCTGGAAATGTTCAGTGTTTTCTCTTCACCCATCAGCTGGAAATGTTTTCCATGCTGTTTTCTGTGTTTTCTCTTCACCCATCAGCTGGAAATGTTTTCCAGGCTGTTTTTAGTGTTCTCCTTTCACCCATCAGCAGCACTCTGGGTTTCTCTGGAATCAATCTCAAGTCAGGGTCGTGCTCCTCTTTCCAGACCCTTCCCAGTGCTGCTTCCAGTTGGGAATCCCAGCAGGGGAAGGATGTGGAGCTGCTGGGGAGAGTCCAGGGGATCAGAGGGAATAAAGGCTGGGAGATTTGGGGTTGTTTACCTGCAGAGGAGAAGCTTTGGGGTGACCTCATTGTCATTTTTCCAATGTTTGCAGGGAGACAGGTGGGGAGGAACTTCCCAATGGCCTGGAGTGACAGGACAAGGGGGGAATGGCTTCAAAGTGTCAGGGAGTGGCTTTGGGCTGGATGTTGGGGTGAAATCCCTCCTTGTGAGGGTGGGCAGGCCCTGGCACAGGTGCCCAGAGCAGTTGTGGCTGCCCCTGCATTCCTGGCAGTGCCCTAGGCCAGGCTGGATGGGGCTTGAAGCACCTTGGGATACTGGAAGGTGTTGGAATGGGGGGATGAGATGATTTTTAAAGTCCCTTCCAACCCAAAGCTGGGATTCAGAATTCTGGGATTCTCTCACTGCAGCAGAGCCCTTCAACACAACAACAAAGGCTCTTTGTTGCCACCTCTCAAAGCCCAAGTGCCTCATTTGCACTCTGCGCTGTCATTTAGAAAACCCAGAGTTATTTTGAGCCCTGAATTGTCCCTGGTGCTGTCAGCAGGGCCACACTCACAAAACGTGCACAGCTTTCAGGTCACCCTGTGCTGGCCTGGAGCTGCCAGCATTCCCTTGGAATTTGTCATTCCCTCTTCACATCCTGCTGCTCCTGGCTCCCAGGCAATTGTGGGGATTCAGAGAAGCCACAGGAGTGAGAGATGATTGCAGGAATCCCATGGGAGGGGAGCTGGGAAGGTGACTGACACCCCACAACATTTTTGGCATCTCACTGGTGTTCAAAAGTGGAGCTGGAGGAAGAAAATGTTGGGGCTTCAAAGCTGTTGGATGTAAATGTCAGTAGTTTTTCTTCTCAGTTCTGGATTGCTCTCACACTGGAGCTGCAAACAGCATTTTTTGCCTCGAAGGTGAGTTTCTCCTGTGGAATTTCCAGCTGGTGTTTGTTCAGCAGATAAAGAGGGATGGAAAAGCCACGTGGAGGACAGAGGGCTTTATGCACATGGGAGTTCCAGAATTTCCAGCCAGGAGGTGTGAATGGGTGTTAGGAAAGCTCTGTCTGTCTGTGGATGGTGCTGAGCTCCCAAACCACTCTGGAACAAGCTTTGAAATTGTTCCCGAGCCATGTGGAATGGTTTAGCCTAAAACTAAATACCTTGTTCCTATCAAACTCCAGTCTGAGGATTTATTTTTGATTCTACATAGAGTGGTGACATGAGTCAAGTTTGAGTTATGAATCAACCAAGCTGTTGAGAGATGAAAATTGTGGGTTTTGGGTTTTTTTAAAGGACTAATCCTGTAAGTTCCTATTTGTGACATTTAAACTTTATATAGAATATAAAAATGTTGGCATGCTTCAGTCAATTGCTGCTTATTGTGCTGAAATCCTTTTGGTTGGTGAAATCCTTTTGGTTGGTGGAAGGAGTTTCATGCAAGGTAGTCTGGTCATGAAGAAGTGAATTGGAACTTGCCAAGCTGGTGGTTCTCAGCAAAGGGACCCTTAGTGAAATAATTTCTGTTTAGAATTTTATATCTGGCTTTATATCCTTGCCTGTAACCAGTCTAAGAGAAATAAATGGGCAGAAACTTGAATTCAAGATTAGCAACATGGCTTGCAATGAATGTGTGGCCCCAGTCTGAGGTTTACAAATGTGATTTTGCAGTAATTAGTGGAAAAGCTGCCCTGTGACTAATTGTGCAGAGTAGGAAACCTGCACTGGTTCCTGCACGTTCAGGATTGTGATGCTGTGTCTGTGATGGGTTGCAGGCCTGGGAGACCTCTGGAAACAACAATTCATGAGCCCAGCTCTCCTCCTGGGTTATAAAACCATCAAATACACAGAGAAACAGGGCAGAGAGAGGGGCTGAGTCCTGTCTGGGCAGGGCAGAGCTCAGCCATGGGGTGTCCTGGTGCCAAAACCCCTCCCAGCTGACTCTCAGTATCTCTGTGATGGGGCCAGGCCTCCTTCCTGTGCTGCTCTGTGCCATGCCCAGATACCAAGGGCACAGTTATTATCTCCCAGATACATTAGGCAGCTGCAGAATGGAATTGGCAGAAAATTGCCTTTGGGCCTGGCCAGACGGTGTTTGGTGACACAGCAGAAAGGGGAAGTTGGCAAACAGCTGGGGGAGCGATCTCCTGCTCACAAACAGCTGTTTGCTCCTTCCTTTCCTGGCTGCCCTGGAATTGTGTTGGAGCTGTTTGCTCCTTCCCCTCCTGGAAAGGTTTTGGAGCTGTTTGCTCCTTGCCCTCCTGGCTGCCCTGGAATTGTGGTTGACAGTAGCTGTGGATTTCTCACAGTCCTTGTGAGAGGAGCACAAGTGACAAGCACAGAATTCACCTTTGCAGCCTGGAATTGTCCTGGAAGAGCAGGTGGGGTAAGGAGGCTTGGCCTGTAATGCTGTGTCTGTACAGCACCAAACCCTCTGACTTTGTGTTCTTTTCAAGTAATGTTTTACTTTCATTTGGAATTTGAAATTGGACCTGTGAGATCATCTGGAGCTCAGAAATAAAACCTGTGACCCATCTGCTTGTTCCCAATCACCACTATTAAAAATAATTATAACTTGCTGACTACTCATATGCTCTGTTTTTCTCTTTTTTTTAACCAGAAGTCCAAGAAGGGAGCATGGACCAGCCCAGTGGAAGGAGTTTCATGCAAGTTCTGTGTGAGAAATACAGCCCTGAGAACTTCCCCTACCGCCGGGGGCCTGGCATGGGGGTGCACGTCCCAGCCACCCCACAGGGCTCCCCTATGAAAGGTAAATTCTGATCTTTCTGGGCATCTGGGGGGTGCTGGGAGCAATCAGCTCAAAGAGGAATCACCTTGAATTGCCCAGAAAAAAGCACCATCACAATGTGGTGTTTTAGTGGAGAGCTGAGAGACTGGACAAAGGGAGGAAGTGACTGAATTAGTTGCTGTAAAAAACCAAATTTCTCTACAGCATGACAGAATCAGAATTAGAGAAGAGAGTGGAATAATTTGGGTTGGAAGGGACTTCAGGATCACCAGGTTCCAGCCCTGTGAGGAGATGGACCTAAAGCCCTGTGCAGTTTGTGTTTTGAGGATACAGCACTCCTTGGAGCTTTCCTTCAGGCCACTGCTCCTATTTTATTATTGGAAGCAGCAACAGGTGTTTTGGCAGAGGTGGCTTAAAAATACATCAAATATCTAAATTTGAGGTTGGTTCCCATGCCACCAGCTTGCTTTGATGCCTGCAGGGACAGGAGGGGCCACATTTCAGGCAGAGTGCTGAGCTGTTGAATCTCTGCTTTTGTGACAAGTGCCTCAGTTGAACTTGCAGTGTACTTTGTCATCCTAAGGCACCAAATGCTTTGTGACCTAGTGGAGAATTCCCCTCTCCTGTGCTCCTGACCTTGCTGCCTCCAGGGGATTTAGCCAGATGTGTGTCTGAAGCTCTGTGCTGCTTGTGGATGTCCTTGAGCCTCCCAGACTGCAGAATCTGTGTCACCATCTCATCTGAACTAGATCCATGTGTGACACCTTTTAGTCTTCCCTTACGCTCTGATGTTGGCATTTAATTCTTGGTTTGTACAGATGGGTCTGAGATTCACATTGATCCCATCAGAGCTGCCCTTTCTTTGTGTCACACATCCTGCCCATCATGATCTGTAGCAGTGATCCAAACTTCCATCAGGTCAATTTGTGTCAGAACCAGCCCCAAAGGGGAAACCAGCCATGGAAATCAGCTGGATGAAGTTTCCAATAACTGGGTTTGACAGAGGAGAAAAAAGGGCCTGAGTTCAGCTGAGGATAAAACACACTCAAAATGAACAAAAATGGCCTGATGGAATGTTCAGCCACTGCCCTCTCTGCAGGTAAATTTACCTCTCTCCTGCTCACCTAAGCTGTTGGGGTGCTGAAAAGAGGCCACATCTTAAAATGTGATTGAGACATGACTTACAAGCACTGCATTAGTAACTCCCAAAGTGCCACACTGTCCTTGAAAGAAACCAAACAATTCTGAGCCAGAAAACTTGGGAACCCAGATCACTCCAGGTAATTGTTGGCTGCTAGAATCCCTTTCTAGAAAACTTGGGAACCCAGATCACTCCAGGTAATTGTTGGCTGCTAGAATCCCTTTGTAGAAAACTTGGGAACCCAGATGACTCCAGGTAATTGTTGGCTGCTAGAATCCCTTTCTAGAAAACTTGGAAACCCAGATGACTCCAGGTCATTCTTTGCTGCTAGAATCCCTTTCCAGTCATGCAGCTGTCAAGTGTTAAGGAGAAAAGGGATCACCTATTTAGGAAAAGGCTTGTGGTTGGATTTTAATGGATTTTCCTGCTCCAGAGAGGTGGGAAAGCCATGTTGTACATGAAGGATTGTAAGACTGATGGCTTGCCTTGCCTCAACGTGGATTTCTTGTGTGGAAATTGTTTCCAGTTACAAACCCCCAGCTTTTTGTCATGGTTTAGCCTTAGCACACCAGGCTGTGATTGAGATCCAAGTCCTTGGTTGCAGCTTTGAGTACATTCACCTGTCTGAGGAGGAGCTGGAGCAAAACCACAGCAGAAATGGAAAGGCAGAGCAGAGACCTGAGTTTTTGAATGAATGCTCTGCATTGAACCTTGGGAAGGGAGAGCTTAGAAAGGAAATACTTAAATACCCCCTAAGAAAAGTTTAAATACCTTCTAAGAAAAGTTTAAATACCTTCTAAGAAATGTTTAAATACCTTCTAAGAAATGTTTAAATACCTCCTGGCTGTTGCTAGGCCCAAGTGGGCTCAGGGCAGGAGGATAAGGGAGTGTGAGTGTGCAGCTGGCACTCCCCATGTGCTGTGTCCTATCTGCAGCAGCAGCTGCTGGGGAACAGCAGAAGTTGTGGCAAGGACTGATAGGAGACAAGCCATAAATGACAAAGGCAGGCCTGAAATGCACAGAAATGCATGGAAGAACTGAAGAGCACTGATAGGAGTGGTGCTTGATGTTTACAACCAAGGCTTCAGGGTGGTGTCAGCTACAAAATCCGCGTTTAACCCGAAACCAGTGTAAATTCTGACTTTACTGGTGGGTTTCTCTTGCTGGCTGTAACATCCATGCTTGGGGCTGGGGTCTGTGACTCCAAGGCAGTGCTGAGCAGAGGCAGCTCCTGTTTTTCCCTGTGCCAGACCGCCTGAACCTGCCCAGTGTGCTGGTGCTCAACAGCTGTGGCATCACCTGTGCCGGGGACGAGAACGAGATCGCCGCCTTCTGCGCCCACGTCTTCGAGCTCGACCTCTCTGACAACAAACTGGAAGACTGGCACGAGGTAAAACGGTGATGGGCACCTCACTGGGTGCCTTTCACAGCTATTACTGCCTGCAAGTGCGTTGCTTTGATGAGAGTTCCATTTTGGTGGCTCCTTTCTCATCTCTGAAGGTGATGTTTATTTACTTTGACAGCAGCTGAGCAATATATGTGATGAAATTAATCCAGTGTGGCATTTCACTCCTGTACCTTGTGACTTACAGTCTTGGCCCCTGGGTGGAAAATCTGTATTTTTATTTTATTTCATCATGCAAAGTACTGGAACTGGCATTTCTAGCACCAAGAAGTTAATGAGCAGTTTAGTTTTTAACAGAGTGCCAGTTGATTCCCAGCTTTGCCACTGTGATGGTGGGCAAGGTATTTATTCCCTCTCCACATTTGTTGTCTTATCTGCAGAACAGATTTAATAATATTTACCACAAAGGGTATTTCTGGAGCCTCATTAATTAATGCTAAATGCTGTTGTAAAACCCTTTGAAGTGCTTGGGTGAAATAATGCTCAATAAATGCAATGTAACAGGAGTGAAACAATCTCAATCCATTCAAGTGTCATTAAGTTCCTCACTGGATTATGCTGTCCTTTTATGTTGGTGTTTATTGTTGGAAATAAGTGGAAAAAACCAGGATATCATGGGGTTTGTGCCATCAGATTGCCATGTCTTTAAGCAGGGAAGGAATGCAGAGTTTGCAGTGTCCCAGCTCATGTCTGGTCATACCCTGCTCCCTCACAGGCTGCACAAACCTGAAAGGCTTCTGTGTGTGCTGGCCCCTTCCTCTGAGACAGGATTCAGTTTTCACAGCCCATCCACACCAGATAAATATCTCCCCACCCCTAAAACCTGCCCGTGCTGGGCATTCCAGGTCCCTGGGTAGCCTGTTCCCATGCTTAGCTAATAACCTCATAGGCTAAACTGTGTAATTTAAGTCTCCTGGGCTGCAATTTCAGCCAATTTCTGCCTGCCCTGGTCTCAGCAGGCAGGAGCAGCATCATCACTGTTCTTATACCCACTTTTATACCCAGCTTTTTATACCCACTAAGAAGAACTTTATTGCCTCCTTTCCTTATTTTAGTATAATACTGAAAAAAATACCCTTCTACCAATCATCCACCATAAGCCATTTTGTTGTAAATCCTGTGGTTTTGGTGGACTGATGTAATCCAATTTGCCTTCTTTATTCCTGAGCTGCAGCACCCAAACCATGGCATCACCTGAAGGGGGTGTGGAGTGAGGCAGACTCATTACACACCTGAGCTCATGAGACAATCCCCCTTTGCCAACAGCTGGTCTAAAATCAATTTATTGACCTCTGTGTGCCATGGTCTGCCCACCTGTGCCCATCCCAGAGCTTTGTGGAGATCTCCAGCCAGCTGTTCTGACTCACAATTATTTTCTGCATTGATGCCTGCTGGTGTTGGGAGCTCCTTCCCACTCAGTTCTCCAGTCAGGGAGGGGACTGAGGACTGGCTGAGCTCTGTGGGGAGCTGGAGAAGTTCTCAGTGCTGGCCATGGAGCAGGAGAAGTGTCCAAGGCCCCCTGTGAGCAAGGCTGGCTTCTGGAATGTGCTGCTGCTGAGCCTTGGGGTTGAGGTGGATTTATGACCTCTCCCAAGGGACTCCCTTTCTCTTATCAAGCTGCTCCTAGAGTGTAATTAAATGAACTCTTGAGCAGAATGAGCAATTAACCAATCCATCTAGATCAGGAATGGCTGGAGTATGAATTACAGGTAGATATCCCTGAGTTTTCCCCCATATCATTGCTTTGTGATGATTCCACAGAGCCCCTTTGAGGAGGTGGGATATTCTTGCCAGAGCTCTGATTACTGCCTGATACACATTTCTTTCTTTCTGTTTTTGTTTTTTTTTTTCTTCCCTCCCCACTTAGGTCAGTAAAATTGTGTCCAACGTTCCCCACTTGGAGTTTCTAAACCTGAGTTCCAACCCTCTCAGTTTGTCCGTTCTAGAGAGAAGTTGCGCTGGGTCTTTCGCTGGCGTCCGCAAACTTGTGCTCAACAACAGCAAAGCTTCCTGGGAAACAGTGCACACCATCCTGCAGGAATTGCCTGAGTAAGCCTGCCAATCTGGGGTGCACACTGCACTCAGGGTGTGGAGTCCTGGGCTGAGGGGGCTGTGAGGATGAAGACATCAGTAGATAAAAAGGGATGTTTTCCTTTGGGAGTTTGGGATCTCCAGGTGAGTGCTTTGCATTGTCCTAAAAACCAAATTTGGGTGGTGCTGCAAAGCCCAGGCCTTCTCCTCCTCCAAACCCAAATACCAGAGATGGATAATCAGCCCAAAAATGTAGGAGGGCCACACTTGCCTCTGAGTCACTGTGCAGGACATACCTGTTAAATGGGAGGTACTCTGAGGGTCTGGCCTCTTGTCAAGGAATATTTCATCCTGCTTTTCTGTGCTCAGGTGTTGATTTCTGTGGTTTGGTCACAGGCCACCTTGGCATTCTGCTGCCATGAATGTCCTCAGTGGCTTTGTTTGGATGACAGATCCCTCTCTGTGTGGCTTTGTGAGCAGAGATGATAAAACCACAATGTCCTGCATGGCCAACATCCACTTCTCTGGGATTGTGAGAGTTCAGTTGTCTGAAAACTTACTGGGACCTTTACTGGGATCTGTTCTTTCTTTAATGGGAATCTTTGATATAGGGGAAAAAAAAATCATCATCAGTGTTGTATCAAAACCCCATTTAAATTAAGCTGAGAGCACTGAGAGCAGGTCCCAGTCACTGCTGGAGCTGGGTTGGTGGCTTGTTGGGCACAGAAGCAGAAGACAACCCCAACCAATCTGTTACACAATACTGGGAGAGACTCAGGGAGCACTTAAAAGGTTTTTTAATCTCTGAAAGTATGGATGGGAGCAGAGATGTAGCTGAAACACTCTGTGTAGAGTGCTCAAAGGCCTTCTCTGCAGTGAGGTTCTCAGAGCTGTTACAGCAAGTTGTGTTGAAATCCCATAAAATTGCTGATGTGATCCTTTCTGCCCTGTGCAGCTTGGAGGAACTCTTCCTGTGCCTTAATGACTATGAAACAGTGTCTTGTTCTCCAGTTTGCTGTCAGTCTCTCAAGCTCCTCCACATAACTGACAACAATCTTCAAGACTGGACTGAAATTCGAAAGTTGGGAATTATGTTTCCATCCCTGGACACACTTATCCTGGCTAACAACAACCTCACCACCATCGAAGAGTCAGAAGATTCCCTGGCAAGGCTCTTCCCCAACCTAAGATCCATCAACTTGCACAAGTCAGGTGAGAGCCTGGGAGCTGGGATGGGTTTTGTTGGTTCATCAGAGTCTCTCCTCTGTAGGACAAGCAGTGAACTTGCCCATCTGTGGGATTTTCCTGCTGCTTTGGGTACTCAGTCATTATCAAAGGATGAGTCAGAGCAGTGTGGAGCAGTTAATCCAAATGAGCTGGAAAGGTTTTTTTATGTTGGTAGTTTCCCTCTGTTTCCCATCCCTGCCTCAGGTACTCCTGGCTGGGGAAGGATAAATAAATGCCTGGCAGTGAAGGGGATGAAAGAATCCCATTTTGCCTTTATTCCCTGTTTTATCTCAGGTAAAATGAGGGCATGTGCAGGTATGCAGCGTGGATCAGGCATCCCCCAGCAGAATCTGTGCTCACAAGTGATGCTGGCAGCTGCTTTTACACTCCAGCCCCAGAGAATTTTCAGCCAACGCTCCAGAAAGAGAATGAGCAGTTGGAATATTGGGAAGAGCACCCTGTGCTGGGAGAGAAGGAGCTGCAGGGCAGCTCGTGGGGGCTGTGATGTGTTTGTGGATGACACATACACCAGAAATTCATCTGCAGGAGTGCTTCATGCACCAGCAGCTTTTGTTCTCTACAGCTTTATATGCTGTGCAAGTGCTGCTGAAGTGTCAGGCAGGTAGAAGGGACTTTATTAACATGCCCTACAATGTAAGCATCAAGGAATCCCTGTAATAAAAGCTTAACTAGAGGAGGAAAAGCCTGTTAAGCTGCATTTGAAAGCACTGTCTCACCGAGGAACAAGTGCTCTTCTGGTAAGTAGTTTTGCAGTTTTGATACCAGGTGCTTAAGAAGTGTGGGCTCTGTGTTGCATTTTGATGTTTTGGGAGCTGAAAGTCAAACAGGAATCCCAAGGAGGTTGTTAAAACTTTTTGGGGGTTTTAGAGAAAGCTGCTGCACTCTGAAGTTGTGGCAGGCGTGGACTCTGAGATGAGTTGTGTTGATCTCACCACACAATTGTGGCTCTGCTGTGCTCAATCCTCAGCTTTGTTTTATTTTGCCCTCCCTGCTTGCTTTGTTATCCCAAATGTCAGGTCTTGAGGGAGCTGAAAACGAGTTAAAACCTTTTCCATTAAATGTCTGGATGGCTTCTGGGACTGTTTCACCATTGGGTTATGAGCAGAAATGGGACCCAGGGTGGTTGTGTATGTGAGGTGAAGCCATTTGATGGCTGTTTAGTGATGCCTGGAATGAAGGAAGTGCTGGTGGCTTTAACTGAAGGCAGCATCCCTTTATAGAGACATCAGTGATGCTGGTCAGCCCCAGCAGTGAGGCCAAAGGCTGAGTGGTCCATAAAAAAGCCATGCAGAGCATCCTTATACACTTGGAAACAGCACAAGAGAATTTCAGCTCCTCTATCTTGTAAGCCAATGTTGATTTTTTTAGCAGCACATGGTGAGCAAAAAGCCAACTTCTCAAAGGAGCAGCAGTGACACTCTCCTGTCACATATGTTCTTTGGCTGTGTGTGATTATCTTGGATCCATGATGTGTTTTCTGTGTTTGTTAACACAAATCTTTCCTCCTGAGCAGGTCTGCATTGCTGGGAAGACATTGACAAGTTAAATTCTTTCCCGAAGCTCGAGGAAGTGAAATTGCTGGGAATTCCTCTGCTGCAGTCTTACACCACCGAGGAACGCAGGAAGCTGCTAATAGCCAGGTGTGTTGGTTTGTTCTGCTCAGCAGAAGTATGACAAGGCAAAGAGGGGTGGGAGCAGGTGATCAGAGGAAGAGGCTGGCAGGAGATGAAGTTCTGTGTGAAGGCAGAAAGATTGGAGCTTGATTTGTTGGGCGGGAGCAGCTCATCAGAGGAAGAGGTTGGTAGGAGATGGAGTTCTGTGTGAATGCAGAAAGATTGGAGCTTCTTTTGTGGAAAAGCCAGAGAAGTGAAAATCTTAAATGTGAGTGCTCTGCTACTCAGGGGTGGCTCCTACAAATCTGTGCACATGTGGTGAAATAAAAATGCCTAATTTTGAATGTTATTGAGAAATTACATGGAACATTCCCACTCTCTCAAAGGGATTAAGACCTGAACTTCCTGGCAGGAATTCCCATGGTGTTAAAGCTGAGGCACTTTGATGTGCCAGCCTGGTTGTTGAGCCTGTGTGGGCTCCTGTGACCGTGTTCACAGGGGTCTGAGGATGAGGGAAGAGACGAGGACCTGACTCCACATTTCAGAAGGCTGAATTAATAATTTAAGAAAAAAAATAAAATAAAAACAAAATAAAAAAAAAAAAAAAAAAGGTTCAACAAAAAGCCGGCCAAAAAAAAAAAAAAAAAAAAAGAAAAAAAAAAGTTGGGGCCCAGACTCTCTGTCTGAGCCAGCTCACTGTGAGTGGCCATTAATTACAAACAACCAAAAGAGACCAATCACAGATGCACCTGTTGCATTCCACAGCAGCAGATAACCAATGTTTACATTTTGCTCCTGAGGCCTCCCAGCTTCTCAGGAGGAAAAATCCTAAGGAAAGGGATTTTTCATGAAAAGATGTCTGTGACAGGCTCCCTCCTGGCTGACTGTGGCTCTTGGTGTGTGCTGCAGGTTGCCATCCATCACCAAGCTCAACGGCAGCATCGTGGCCGACGGCGAGCGCGAGGACTCGGAGCGATTCTTCATCCGCTACTACATGGAGTTCCCTGAGGAGGAGGTCCCCTTCAGGTAGGAATTCTCTGGAATTGGACAGCAGGGACTGGCCAGGTGATGGGATATTTTGCCAGCTGTTCCATCTCTCATCTTCCTCCAGCCTCAGCTCCTTCAGTCTGTTTGTGCTGAAATTATTGTATTTATGTTGTCTGATGAATTGTGGGGTCACTCCTGAGTCAGATTTGGTCTTAAAAGTGTGGCAAGTGCCATTAAACAACAGGACAGTTCAGGACATGACCTTCACTGTTTCCTGGCCTCTCCCACAGCTCCCTTCATAATCCACCTGTGTTTGGGAGTGCCCAAAGCCAGGGCACGTCCTGCTCTGCACTGCCAGGCCAGGGCATCTAATCCTCGGCACCATCTGGTGTGTGGAATGTGCCTGGCAATGGGAAGCTGGCCCCTCACTTTCAGGCCTGCAAATCACAACTCTGATGGGTTTTCTTTGCCAAAAAAGTACATCCAATGATCTGCTCATCTTGGTGAACTAATGAACTTGGACAGATGCTGTTCAGTCTGTATCTTTTTTGTGCCAGCATCCACTTACTGCTCCTAATGGGCTGAGGAGGGATCATGGAGCATCAGGCCACTGCCTTTACCTGCCCTCTGCCCTAAAACCTCACGTGCTTTTGGACAGCAAAGCTTTATTGTCCTTCTTGTACAGAAAAAGGGTAGGACAGGGGTGTGTGTGTGACTCTGAGGGCACAGGCAGAGGTGGGGACACACTGAAGGTCACAGGTCTGGCCTGGCATGGATGACAGAGGTGCAAATGGCATCTGCTCAGTGTTTTCCTCTGCTTAACTCTCAGCTTAAATCCATGTTTTTCTGAAGCACTGGATATGTGACTTGCCAATCCAGTAAAGGGGTGGGAAGGCTGGAAAGGGGAATGAGGGCATGGCATTTTGTGTGAATATTAATAGGGTCAGTGATTATAAAATTTGTTAAAGGCATGCTGGGGTCAGTTCAGAGGCAGAGGGCACTCATGCAGTCAGGGAGACAAGACAGCTGGTCCTTTTTCTGAGGACAAGTCCTGACTTGTAATTTTAGAGGGCCTTGAAGCATAAAAATTGAAGGAAATATTGGAAAGGATAACAGCAGAGACAGAGAATGCAGGAGAGAGGAAAGGGAAGGGGAGATGGGACTGTGAGCTCATGGTGCTGCTCCCAAAAGGGATTAATTTCCATAACATTTCATATTTCTTATGTTTGGTGGTGACAGAGTGTCAGTGATCCATTTATTGCTGGGAAGGACACAGTGGGTACAGCTTGAGGCACTCCTGCTGCCTGGGACATGGGGTTTGGGAGCAGGCTGTGTGTCACACATCACCACACACCACTGGGGTTGGTTTGCAGGTGGGATCTCATGGAAAAGATGACTGACATCTCACCCATCCCAGAAAACCGGGCTCATTTTGACCAACGTGCCAGCTTTCCGCTAGAAAAATCACCTCCCCCTCAGATTTCTTAGCTTTTAAACACTGGTGCTGCCTTTTCATGGTCAATGGCCTCTTTGTCCAAATCCCTTCATCTGTGCAGCGTTTCCAGGAGACTTCTGCAGTGCCAGAGAGGGTTGGGGGCCACTGCAGACTCTTTTCTAGTGAGGCTGCAGATGGCTGAGAGTGTCCCCAGTGTTTCAGTTCCTGGACCCACAGCCAGCAGCCCTTGTCCAAAGGGAGAGCTGGCATTCCTTGCAGAGGGATTTTGTTGTTTGTTGTTAAAGCTTCCCCTTCCTCGCTCCCAAATCTGCTGTGGGGTGGCTCCAAAAGTGGTTTGCAATTAGAAACTAATCAGGACACACATGTTGTGGCTGGGGTCTGACATCTGCATTGCAGTGCTGCCTGAAGCAGAGGGAGAGCAACTTGAGCAGGGAGAAGTCGCCAGTGGGAGCAGCCCCCCTCCAGACTGGCAAGGTGCAGCCTGTGATAAGCTCTGCCATCAGAACCCTCCTGCTCGCTGCATTGCTGTCTGCAGCTGGAAGGGATCAGGCAGGCAGGGAAATGGAAGGAACAGTTTATCTCAGTGGATGTGGTGGTTCCAGGGTGCACAATCCAATATTGGCTGTCTTGTGGAGTGACGTCCTCGCGTCTGGGGGGTTTTAATGAGCCCTCTGCTTGTCTGCTCCACTGTTTATCTGCACAGTGTCACAGACACTTCCAGCCAGGCTCAGGTCTTCAGCAGCCTCACTGTCTGCCAGGCTGCAAGGGGTGATTAGAAAAGTCTCTAGGGTGCCTATTATTGGGGTCCAAAACACCCATGTACCAGTCTTGGTGCTGATTGGTTTGAGGGCAGCCACTCACTCACACTCCCCACTTTCTTTGCAGCTCACATGCAAAGGAGGAGGGTGCAAAGCTCATTCTGCCCTTCCTCAACACAAGAAAATTTCAGGCAGCATTGCTTGACCACTGCATATTTACAGCACATATTTGGATAATCTTGGCTCTCTCATGCTGGTTTTCTCTCCCAGCTTGTCTGAAATTTGTCCCCCTCTTCATCCTGTCCCCACCACCAGCCCAGTTCATTCTTAGTGCATGAATCAGTGACAGTAATTGTGGCTGGCCCAGAAGTTGTTGCTGCTCCGCAGCAGCAGCGATGCTGAGAGTTAAAGGATGTCCCAAAGGGGGCTGAGGGGTTGGAGCAGCAGGAGGTGGGTTCCCCTCTCCCTCTTTCCCATCGGATGCTGATGCTGGCAAATCCTTCCAGAGAAGGAGAAGCCCTCCCCGCTGCTGCCACACTGGCTGGCGTTTGCTCTGCCTGCAGGTGGGTTAAACATGGGCAGTGTTGTTTTCTCCCAGCACTAATGGCTTCCCCAGATAAATGGGGCTGCTCCCACCACCCTGCCTGTGAGAGCAGGGCACCATCCTGCCCTTGGGCGTGGGACTGGGGAAATCCTAGTGCCTGGTGGCCCTTACCTCAGTGCCCAGCACACAGAGGGGCTGCTGTTCTCCAGGAACATTCCTGCCTCCAGCAGGAGTCCCTGGGGTCAGCAGCCTGCCAGATCCCATGGCTGCCCCGGGGCTGTGACACCGCGCCCATCGCATTCAGCCCCGCCTGGCATCGGCAGCACAAAGCTCCTTCTGTGCCGGGGCTCTGAAACGTTACCTGGGCTCAGCAGCTCTCAGCCTTTGTCATCCCAATCCCATTGTGTTTTGTGCTGCCATTCCTCCTCTTTCCCAGCCAGGCAGGGAGATGCAGCCTGGCCCGATGGGAGCGATAGCAGGGGGTGTGGGTGACACAGACTTTCCATTGCAGGGACCTTGGGAAGAGCGCTCACAGAACTTGGCTGCAGGGACAAGGTGACAGAGGAGTGTGTGCCTCTGCTAGTAAAACTCCCATCTTGTTTTAGAGCAGGTGTGAAGGATCAGCTGGCAAGAAGTGCCCTGTTTGTTATCAGCTCTCAAACTGTGCAGCAGCTCACCTTGTTTTGGTGATCTTGATGATCCTGCGCTCAGTGGAGTGTAACATTTGGGACCTAGCTGGCCTTTTGGAAAACAGCAGGAATGTCTGATGATCAGTTAAGTCGTGAGGCCACAGATACTGGGAATCTAAACTGAAGGCTGTGTCCTTTTTGTGAGCACTGCCTTGGTCCTGGCACTCTTCAGGGGAGTGTTTTCACTGGAGCAGGAGGCGCAGAGTTGTGAGCACGGCGTCCTCTCTTTCTTCCAAATCCCACTGCAGCCACGGCTGGGATTTCTGAAACTGTAGGAGCCCACACTGTTGTTTTGAGACCAGTCAGCTTGAACACCTCAGGCTGGTGGTAATTTCACCTCCCTCAGCAAGACACTTGTCCCTAGTGGGACACTCAGCTCACATCAGTGCCACAGCGCAGCCGGGGGACCATGGGACAGTGACTGGAGTGCTTGGGCTTTCTGGGGCTTTCAGCTGGAATCAGGGTCAGTGTTTTCTCATGGGAGTTGTGCACTGGCTCTACCTTAACTCTGAACTTGTTGAATTTTCCAGGTATCACGAGCTGGTGACCAAGTACGGGAAGCTGGAGCCCTTGGCAGTGGTGGATCTGCGGCCTCAGAGCAGCGCCAAGGTGGAGGTTCACTTCCAGGACAAGGTGGAGGAGATGTCCATCCGTCTCGACCAGACTGTGGCAGAGCTGAAGAAGCACTTAAAAACTGTGGTGCAGCTGTCAACAAGCAACATGCTGCTCTTCTACTTGGACCAGGAAGCTCCTTTTGGTCCCGAGGAGATGAAATACAGCTCGCGGGCGCTGCATTCCTACGGCATCCGGGATGGGGATAAAATTTACGTGGAGCCCAGAATGAAATAGCCTTTTTGCCCACACCCACACGCCCCCACACACCCACACACATGCATTGAGGAGTTTGTTGCAAGGTTTTTATTTCGGTTGGTTGGTTGAGGTTTGGTTGTGTTTCTGTAGCAGGTAATTTCTTAGCCCGGAGGAAGTGCCCTGATGTGAGAACCATGCCCACCATCCACTGCAGGTGACCTTGAGGTGACAATTGACTTCAGGACGTGTGTTTCAGTGTGGGCAATACCTTGATGTTTCCTTTGATGCTCCGGTATACTCGTGATTTGGCATGAATGGTCAGTTGTTCAAGCTAAACAATGCCAGGGTCCATAAGGGAGGAGACAGCTCGGTGCAGATTTTGACCTGTTGTTTTCTTTTCCTGAATTTTTTGGTGTTTTGCTCCACCAGATCTCCCTTTGGCCTAGCTATCCAACTGTGGCTCGAGCTTGCTGTAGTATTTTCTTGCAGCTTGGTGCTGTCTCAACCTTTTGTTGTGCTCGAGTTCACAGGAAAGATCTCCATCAGTATTCTGCTTGATTCAGAGCTCAGGTACTTTAGTGCATCCACTTCACTCCACTGGTTTGCTTTCTGTGAGTGCACAACATGGGGGAAAGAAAAGAACTTCCCAGAAAGAAACTTTCTTTTCAAAGTGCACGCTCTATATCCACCTGATTTTGGAGGGAAAAAAAGAGGTTTTGGCTGCTGTACTCATCTCACACGGTGCCTGCAGCCTGTGGGGATAAAGGATGTGTTGGAAAGTGAATTTTGGGAGGTGGTGGATGAGCGCTGCATTGGAAGGGCTTTTTGAACAGCAGGTCAACAAGGGGTTGAAGAGCAGCTTCCCCTGTTGTCCATCCTGATGCTGAAGAGATCCTCCATGCACTTCACTTTGTACCAGTGGGTGCTGCAAGTGGAATGGCTAAAATCCCTCTCCTGGGAGAGAGGAAGAGTCAAGTTGAAGTTTGTGTTTGTTGCTGTTGCACCAGTTCAAACCTAGCACTTTGCCCGGGACCCCTGCCCGGGGGTCCCTGCGTAGGGTCCGGACTCGGAGGAGGTGTTGGCTTGGATCAGCCCCTGCAGGTGGAGGAACAAAGCAGCTGGGCCCACGATGGGTGTTCAGCAGGACTCAATGCTGGGTGTTCAGCAGTTTTCACTCCAACAAAGCTGCTGGACCCACATTGAGTGTTCAGCAGGGCCCACGTTGGGTGTTCAGCTGGACCCATGTTGGGTGTTCAGCAAGTTTTACTCCAACAAAGCTGCTGGACTCACACTGGGTGTTCAGCAAGGTTCACTGAACAAAGCAGCTGGACCCGTGCTGGGTGTTCAGCTGGACCCATGTTGGGTGTTCAGCAGGTTTCATTCAAAAAAACCAGCTGGACCCACATTGGATGCTCAGCAGAACCCATGTTGGGTGTTCAGCAGTTTTCACTCCAACAAAGTTGCTGGACCCATGCTGCGTGTTCAGCAGGGTTCACTGAACCAAGCAGCTGAACCCATGCTGGATGTTCAGCTGGACCCATGTTGGGTGTTCAGCAAGTTTTACTCCAACAAAGCTGCTGGACTCACACTGGGTGTTCAGCAAGGTTCACTGAACAAAGCAGCTGGACCCGTGCTGGGTGTTCAGCTGGACCCATGTTGGGTGTTCAGCAGGACCCATGCAAAAAAACCAGCTGGACCCACATTGGATGCTCAGCAGAACCCATGTTGGGTGTTCAGCTGGACTCAACATTGGGTGTTCAGCAGTTTTCACTCCAGCAAAGCAGTTGGACCCATGTTGGGTGTTCAGCAGGGCCCACTTTGGATGCCCAGCAGGTTTCTCTCCCTCTCTCTCTCTCGGCTTTCCCCTCGCAGGCATCGCGTGCTGCTGCTTCACGTAGTCCCTGTTTTCTACTGCACAGCAGATCCCCTGCCTGGTCAGTGAAATCCTCCTCCTTTTTTCCTCTCTCTTGTTTCGCTTTCCTGCGTCTTCCCCGCTCCAAGTTGAAGAGTTTCCCAATTTCCTGTTCCAAGCAGCTGCTCAGCAGTTTTTGGAGCTGTGCAGCGAGGGCTCTAGTTACACATGAACTCCTGACCTTCATTTTGAAATGCTCCCTTTATCCCCACGTGCACTTTCTTCCCCAGGATGCTTTTTCCCACATCACTGAGCTCCTTTGGTATTCTTGGAGTTGTGTATTTCTCTTCACATTTTACCTGGATTGTGGGGTGGGATCATTGGGGAGGGGACTAAGTATTATTATCTCATTAGTCTTCAGGTTTAGGATTTGGGGATTGTTCAGAGGGGATTAGTTCCTTATCCAAAGCAAGGGTTAAAATGGGAGGATTTAAAACAAGTCACTAATTTGTGCCTCATCCCCCTGCCAAAAATAGCAATTTCTTGGCCCCATTGAGATGAGCAATAGGGAAGGGAGTGAGATTTTCCACAGGTAACATAGATTTCCATAGATCCATGGTACCTGTAACCTAAACAGCAGGGAGATAGTGGCAGTATAACATAAAATGATGCTTTTATAAGCTAGAGCTTTACTGAAGATGTATTTTCCATTTGGGCAGCAAAAATAATTTGCTGCCTGATAGCAGAACCCTTAAGCCAACACTTCTGTATGATATATACATACCTACCAATAGGAAAAGTTGTGGTTAATAAGATATTTTGTTATAAAGCAAAGTTTTATGAAGATATGGTTGTTTAATATTAGAAACCTATTTCAGCCCTTGACCTCCAGTGTGAGTAGGAGATCCCTGAGTGGCTGCAGTCCGAGGCAAGCGACCTGTGGGGATGCAAAATCTCTGACCCAACTCTCCAGAGCATAATTGCCTCTGTGGGTGTATTTATGGCATTGTACCTGCTATCAGTGAGATGCTGTAACTCTTGTCCAACTTCCTCAGCACAATTAAGAGTCTGGGTTTCAGAGAAGGGAATAAACAAAGGCCATTAAAGAGTGGAATGGGATGATAAAGAAGGGCCAAGTGCTTTCAAGTTTGTTTGCCCACTAAAAACTGGGCTGTCCGTGGAGGGATTGGTGCTGTCACCAGCTCAGAACTGGCAGTAAATTCTGCTTTTATTTGTGACAGACCTGGTGGGAAGATGGAAAAAGAGAGCACAGAAGGTTAACAGGTGCTGGGGGTTTGGTGCTGGCACCCAAACCTGCTCCCCTGGTCCCTTCAGGTGTGAAATCACCACCCTGCTGTTTCTCCAGGGAGGGTTTTTCTCAAGGCATTCACCTTGTGTGCAGGTAATGGAGCAGTTGTGGGGTAGAAACCAAAAATCTTGGTTGGTTTCCCAAGGAGAAGGAGTCACCCCAAAACCAGAGGGAGTTTGTGTGGGACCAAACAGCACACGAGGATGTGGCAAAATAGCCCAAATCATGGTGCCTTGTGGGGAAGGGTCCTGTGTGTGTGCCACCCAACAGGGCACCATGTTTGGGGAGGGAGGAGAAGGTTTGGCTGCTGAGTGAGGGTGCAGATGGGGCAGGAGGTTTGATTTAAACCTCTGCCATGTCCAGGCATTGCCAGCCTGTGCCCTCTTCAGCTGAAGATCTGTCACATCCACTTGAGACAACAAAATAGATGTGCAAACTTCCCTGGTTTGTGTGTGTGCTTCTACCTGAGGGCTGCTTTTGTGTGTTGTTCATGCATCAAAGTGTGCCCAGCAGGCAGAGCACCTGCTCCACGAGGACTCGGGTGACAGCTGGATACCAAAGTGTCCCACGGCTCCGCGTGCCCAGTTTGAGGCTGTGCTCTGTGGTTTTTGGAGATGTTCCTGTTCAATATCCATATTTTTGGCCAGATGTTGCAGGCAGATCACTGTTATGAACATGCACGGGGTGCTGGCTGTCCTCTGCTCGCTGGCTGGGGTTTGTAATCTGGTTTTTTGGGAGCTGCAGGTGTGACCCGTGGTGGCTTGGGGGACGTGGTCTCCTGCTCTGGGTCTGCAATCCCGTGGAGGTGCCACAGCTCTGCCTCCTCTCTTGTCAGTGACATTCTGTGCAAGATTTGAGAATGCAAATGACTGCTTAAAGCAGCCCAGAGGCTAAAATCTGTATTCTGGCAGCTGTGCCTCCCTGGTTTGGATGTGGCACTTTTGTGGCAGCAGAGGCGCCTCCCCCAGAGCAGCCTTAGAGGGGCTCCAGCCACCTCAGGCCTTTCCCTCTGTGATTGCTGTTCTGCAGTTCCTGGAAACTTCAAATACAATTTAAACATGAAGATCTGTTCTTGCTCCCTGTTAATGTTGCATCCATCTGTAATTTCAAAGAAGAAGAACTGTAAGTCCATCTGGTTTTTGATTCTGGTTTCTCTCCCAGGGGATACACCTCCCGCTCCCACAATTTGCCTTTGGTTTGCTTGCAGACTTAGTGGTGGAATTCAGGCCAAAATAGGTCATTGGTTTGGATCAGTTCAATAAACTTATGTAAGTTTTTACACTAAAACTCTCAGTGTCCTGAGCTTTTAAGTTTTATGTCCCCTGAAACAAAAATATTCCCTGTTGTCACCCCAAAGGTGTGAGTGAAAACTGCCAGGATTTTTTTTGTCCTGCTGGTGGTTTTGTTGTGTGTCCATGAGCTTGGGCACAGCCTCCTCACCTGTGCAAGGAGAGGAGAATTCCCTTCCAGGAGAGCTGCAAGATCTGATCCTCGTTTGGGCTGCACTTCCCCATGACTGGCACTCATCCTCACTGCCAGGTGAGGAATAAAACTGAGGCTCACTCTCTCTGTCTTCAGAGGGACTGGCCTTGGGGTTAAAATAAATTTCACCTTCATGCACCAAATGACCCTGGGGGAGGCAGGAGGAGAGAGATGCTCCTGTGGATGGGAAATTTCCTGGGCAAATCCATTTTCAGGGCATCTTCCATGGGCTGTGCTTAAAATGGGAATGAGACAAGGCCCTGCCAAGGTCAAGCAGCCACAGAAACCCTTGTGGCATCTTTGAATCTTGTTTTTCCTTGAGGTAAGGCATGGGAGGAAGTTTTCTGCTGGAAGAATTAAGAAAAGAAGAAGTGTTTGGTTGTTCAGCTGCAATGTGTCCAGCCCTGCATGATGGGAACATCCCTGCCAAAAGAAGAGAAGCTGGAAGACAAAATCTTCCCCAAAGAGTCCCTGAGACCTAATCAAACTTCATCAGTGTTCACTTGCCCAGACAAACAGGACCAGAATATTAAACTGACAAAGGAGCAGAGGGAAACCTAATTTCACCAGTTTTCTCTGTGTTACAAAACAGAATGAGGGGAGTCAATTGATTTTCCTGGAGCTGGTTGTGTTTAAAATGTATGGGAGGGAAGGGAAGAGCCAGGATCCAGGCTGGAAGTAATCTGCCCCTGGAATATCAGTCAGTGCTGATATCCCCCTGCCCTCCTAAAATAGCTCTTGGCTTAGAAAAGGGTAAAAATAAATTTAAAAATTAAAGATTCCTGCTAGCGAGGCCATGCTTGGAGGATGGAGGGAAAGCAAATTCTGGGATTTGCTGTGGAGGCACCATTTGCTGGTGCCCTGATGTGCTAGGAGAGGTAAGAGGCAGCTTTTTTGGGGGGAAACTTGATGAAAACACTGCCAGGAGCACCAGGGGAAAAAAGTCTGGGCTTCTTGTTGGGCTACTGGCAAAGGGTGGGGAGGACAAGGGCCATTAAGAGCTCCTAATTCCCTTAATTAGGAGGACAATGAGGAATAAAAGGGAAAATGGGGAATAAAAGCCCCCCACCCCAAATGTCAGAGGCGAAAATCAGCCCAGCTCAGACTTTTCACATAGCTGGGGTTGGACAGTGCCTGTCTGAGCTGAGCTTTGCTGCAGGATGGAAAATCAGCTCTGCTGTAGCTCTGCTCAGGGATCCTTCACCCCTCAGCTGCTGTTCCGCTCTGCCTCTCATCCAACATGGATATGAACCACCTCAAAGCAGCTGAAATCTCTTTTTGGGGGTACAGATTGGGCTCAAATGTAGAGAAAATCAGCCCAGCTCAGGCTGTTTTCCCACTGCTGGGGTTGGGGTTGTTTTCCCACTGAGCTGAGCTTTGCTGCAGGATGGAAAATCAGCTCTGCTCAGGGATCCTTCACCCTTCAGCTGCAGTTCCAGCTCTCCCTCTCATCCAACATGGATATCAACCAACTCAAAGCAGCTGAAATCTCTTTTTTTGGGGGTACAGATTGGGCTCAAATGTAGAGCTGTGGTCAGGGAAAATCCCTGTGGAAACTGCAGGTGTAGGAGTGACAATTATTATAATAACGCTCACAGCAGTGAAGGTCCCCACCAGCACCAGAGAGGGTGGAAATGGGAACGAACAGCAAAGAAACCTTCTGTGGGCTGGACTGGGTGAGTTTTTCCTTTTCCACCTGTAAAAGAGCAGGAGTTGGATGGCAAAGCAGCTCCATTGAAACTCCAGGGCAGTGCCTTTGAACCTAGCACTGTTTAATGCTAATCCTGTAACTTTATATAGATGGGCTTTTTTTTTTTTTCTCCCCCCTTCACACAAAGGAGGAAGGGGCTCAATTCTTCTGAGGGTTGGGTTTTGTGTTCCCTGAGCAGCAGAGCTGCGAGCCCAGCTCTGTCTCTGTGGCATTTCCATCTGAATCCACCTCAAGGGGGTGAGCTTTTGGGCAAGAAAGAAAGAAAGAAAGAGGCTTCTCTCCCTCTCCAGGCCAGAACCTGATCTCCAGATTAGCCTGCTGGTTATCAACAGAGGAGCAACAGTTGTGATTGCAACTCAACCCTGCTCCAGCCCTGGAGGAGCATTGAGGAAAAGGGAGTTTTCACTTGGGAGAGCAAAGGACTGAGCCCTGGTTTCAGTCAGCAGCAATAATTGGCATGGCAGCACGGGCATGCAGTCTCCATTGACATAGGATTTCTCCCTGCTCTACCAAGACTGGTCTAAAATTTCAGACCTGATTGCTCCTCTAGCCTACAAACAGGTTGGTAATTTTTTTTTTTTCCATACCTAAATAATTGTATTTTTGGGTGGGATGTGTTCAGTGGCGCGTTCTTTGCTGTCTGTCCTGCTTTGCTGTTGTTCTCACAGTCCCACAGTCCCCACTGGTCCCTCTCTGCTAATGAGACTCAAATTTACAATCTATCCAAAATTCTGCCACTCTCCTTTCACCTTTCCAAGTCAGGGAATGTGCTGAAACTTCTCCTTGGTGGGTTGAACTTTTCCCCATGGAGAATGTGCTCACCAAGACCTTTCCTTCCACTGTGTTCCAAACTCTGAGTGAGGGGAGTGATGTGGGATAAATTATGGGATATTCCCCCTGTAATCCTGTACTCTGTGCCATTAGAAGGAGTTGGATCTGTAAATCCACATTTTCCATAAAAACAGATCCATGGGGAGAACACAAAGGGATTTGAGGGAGATTTTTAAGGCTGGGAGGCTGCTGTTGACACCCAGGCTGTTCATAATGCACACAGTTGGTGTGGGGAGCTCCCAAATCCCTTCCCAGCTCTCCTGGAGAATCCCAAACCTTCCTGGGAGCTCTGAGCCCTGCCCGTGCAGAACAAACGCAATCAACAGGCAAAGAAACCAAAGCAGGTGTTTTAGCAATATTTTCTATTGGATTAATAACCAGTAACAAATTGCATTAGGCACAGAAGGAATTAGGGCCGGCACAGGATTTCTCTTTCATTTTGTATCTTCAGTCTCTCATTGATTCCTGCACAAGGAGCTGCCCAGCTGTGTAAATGTTTGTGCTCCTTCCACGCTCATCCAGCCCCCTGAGTGATGGCTCTGGTGGCAGCCAGGGCAGAGGATTAGCTGGAACTGAAGCCCCTGGACCATGAGAGCTCATCACAGCTCTGCTGCTCCGCTGGGATCACCCTGCTCTGAGCAGATCAGGAATTGCTCAGCAGAATAAGGAGCACATGGAGAGCTGTGGCTGTTCACAGCTCCCAAACACGAAATGAGCCCTTCCAGGTGTTTCTGGCTTTCCTTTGGCGTGGTTTGCTGTTGTCACCAGGTGTTTCAGGGCTGCCTGGCAGGGCAGGGACCTCACCTGCAGCTCCACATGCCAGCAGCAGCCAGGCAGCTCCAGGAACCCCCTCAAGGATGAGTTTTCCTACCGATGTGATGCATGGCTGGGTTTGTCTCCTTCCTGTAGGATGAACAAGAGATCATTTCTGGGAGCCTGGGTGGCCCTTTTGGTGATAACAGCACAGCAGAGAGGTGAGTATCTCCCAGCAGGAAAATATTAAAATATTCCCCAGATGGGCTGTGCCCAGAGACCCCAGAGGGCTTGGGAAATGACCCCATTGGGCTTGGAAACACCCCACAGGGTTTGGAAACCATCCCAGAGGGTTTGGGGAACAACTCCAGGGGGTTTGGGGAACAACCCCAGAGGGTTTGGAAAACCATCCCAGAGGGTTTGGGAAACACTCACAGCTCCTTGGCTGGAGCAAAAACAAGAATCAGAGTGACCTGAGTGCTCCCCATGGGGAGGGAAGGACTGAGAATCCTGAGGGCTGCTTGTGTTTGTAATTTTTCATGGCTGTGTGCGCACCTGGTGAATTCCAGAGGAAGCAGGGGTTTGGGAAATGCCTGTGTTGGGGCTGCTGAGCAGGCCTGGTAGTGTGGCACTGATAGAGCTGAAGAGGAATTGAGGAATGTCTGCAGCCCTGGAGGAGCAAGACATGAAATGACAGCAGAAATCTGGCTGGGACAAGAAGGGAAAGGTGCCCTGGGGCCTGAAGTGGCTGCTTGTGCCTTAAGCCGATGGATTTTAGGCTGGTAGAAAAGCAGCAGGCTGAAATGTGTCAAAACCATCTTCTGAAGCACTTTTGGGAGAGACAGTTATGTGCTCTGGCAGTGCCTTTTAGCAGGAAAGTGAATTTTGCAGGGAAATGTGGGAGCAGCCGTGACCCCTCAGGCTGTGACCTGGGCAGGGGGAAGGTGGGCACTGCCAGGAACAAGGTGGGCACTGCCAGGAAC